AGTTGATTATTTCCTCTGTAATGCCACTGTAATTTATACATATCTCTTATTATAGCACTTAGGACAGTACACTGAAGTCATTTATATTATGTCTCTCTACTAAACTGTTAGGTATTATTTGTTATATACCTAGTGTATGTATCTAATTGTGCGACCAACATAAATCCGATTTAGAACATTTTAGCTCCTCTAAGAAGGTGCCTCATAAACATTTAATGTTAATTTCTGTGTCCTCCCATCACCTAATCTTAAAAATTAGTTAATCTAACCTATATATATTTTTTATATGAATTGAATTGCATAGTATGTCATCTTTTGTGACTTGTTTTCATTGGGAGGAATGTTTTTGAGCTTCAGAATGTATCATAGTTTTGAGGTCATAGAATGCATCATTGTTCATTCCTTCATATTGCTGAGTAGTATTCTGTTGTATTGATAGACTATATTTTGTTTATACATCCAGCAATTGTTGAACATTAGTTTCTAATTTCTCATGAATAATGTTACTGAGACATGTATGTGCAGATATTTTTGTGGAAATGTTTTTTCTTTTTCTTGTGTATATCTAATAGTGGGTTATTGAATCATGGTAAATTATATTTGATATTCTAAGCAACTAGGATACTAGGAAGTATTCTAAAAGGCTAGACTACATATCTATCAGTGATGTACAGGGTTCATGTTTTTTTCACCACCTTAACGTTTTTTATTGTATACTTTTTTCTGTGAGCTATTTTAATGTATGTATGAATTGATATCCCTTTGGGATTTCAATTTATATTTCTTTAATAACTAATGCTTTTGAACATATGTCATATGATTTTAACTTATACTTTTGAAGTATAATTTTACTGAATATGACATAATTGGTGGATCATTTTCTTTCAATATTTTGAATATGTGAGTTTACAGTCTTCTGCCCTTTAAAGTTTCTGGTGAGATGTTATTGTTCTTATTGATAATCTTTTTTACTAAGTTGTTTTTCTCTTACTGATTTCAAAATGTTCTTTCTTTGAGTTATGTCAGTTTGATTATGATGTATTTAAGTGTTGATCTCTTTAAATTTATTTTACTTGGAATTTATTGAGTTTCTTATTTGAGATTTCTTGATTAATATTTCTTGAAATTTGGGGGGCTTTCCACCAACATTTAATTTTTTTCTTCTCTTTCTTTCTAGGGGTTCCATTATGCATATGGCATTATGTTTAATGGTTGCTCACAAAGCTCTAAGGTTCTATTTATTTTTCTTCATTATTTCTATAAAAAGTATACCTCTGAATAATCTCTACCCACAAATCTTCAAGAATGCAGACTCTTCTTTTGCCAGTTTGAACAAGTGAATTTTTATGTCAGTTATACTTTTGAGCTCCAGAATTTATACTTCATAGTTTTTCCAGTTTCTTGTCAGTGATATTTTCTATTTGATAAGATAGTTTTCGGGGCTGGCGAGATGGCTCAGTGGTCTAAAGCACCTACATGGAACAAGCTTGGCAAAGCACAGGGACCACGGTTCGATCCCCCAGCACCACATGCCAGCCAGCCTCGCCCCCTGGTGGGCTGAGGTGGCCACACACACACACACACACACACACTAAATAAATAAATGTTTAAAAAATATATTTAAAAAAAGATAGTTTTCATCCTTTATTTTTTAATTAATTAAATTTATTTCTTATTTCTGGTGTGGCACTGAGGTTTGAACTCAGGGCCTTTATACTGAGCTATGTCTCCCAGTCCGCTACCCTCTGCCTGCCTGCCTGCCTGCCTGTCTCTTCTCTCTCTGTCTCTCTCTGTCTCTCTCTCTCTCTCTCTCTCTCTCTCTCTCCTTTTCTTTTTTCCTTCTTTCCTCTTTTTCTTTTCTCTCTCTTTATTCTCTCTCTCTCTCTCCCTCTCTCTCTTTCCCTCCCTCCTTTCCTCTCTGCCTCTCTTTTGTTCTTTAAATTTTGAGACAGGGTCTCACTAAGTTGCCATGTTGCCTAGTTGCCTAGGCTGGTCTCAAACTTACAGGCCAGGGATTGCAGGCATATACCACTACACTCAACTGAGACTATATCTTAGAGCAGTTCAAAGTTTATAAAATATTTGAAAAAATATATATAGACTCCTTATGTACTCTTATCTATCCTCTATCCTGTCTACAGATTCTCCTATTATTAACATCTTACATTTTACAGTAAATGAGCCAATATCAGTACGTTACTATGGATTAAAGCCCATAATTTACATTAGGGCTCATTCTTTTACTGTTTGGTTTTATGGGCCCTTCCAAATGTATAGTACTCATATAGAGTACTATCCCTATCCTAAATATCTCCTGTGCTCTACCTGTTAATCCTTCCCCCCAAACCCCTAAAAGCAACTGATCTATCTCTATAATTCTATTTTTTGTGTGATATATTATATAATTTTAATCGTGTTCAGCCTTTTCAGACTTCTTTCATGTAGCAATATGCATTTAGGGTTCCTCCATATCTTTGTGTGCTTTCTTTCTTTCTTTCTTTCTTTCTTTCTTTCTTTCTTTCTTTCTTTCTTTCTTTTTCTGTGTATTTTTCATGCTGGTAGTTGAACCCAGGACATACTCTAGGCAAGCATTCTACCAGAGCAAAATCCCAACGTTTATATTTTGACATAGGTTCTCAATGAAATGCCTAAGATGGTCTACTTCAGCCTCTTTAGTAGGTAGGATTATGAGTGTGCACTATTTCACTCAACTTCTCATTCTTTTATTATTTTATTTTTTTGCCTTTTTGAGACAGGTTCTCCCTATGTAGTACAGACTGGCCTTGAACTCACTGTGAAGCCCAGGCTGGCCTTGAACTTGCAGTGATCCTTCCATTTCAGTCTCCCAAGTACTGGAATTACAGGCATGTGCCACCACACGCAGTTAATTTGCTTTTATTGCTACAAATATTCCATTATTTGTGGCTATACCACAGTATTTATCCATCCACCTAGTTAGAAGCACCTTAGTTGCTTCCAGTTTGGGCAAGTAAAGATAAAGCTGCTATAAGCAGTCATGGGCAAGTTTCTGTATGGATTGTAAGTTTTCAGCTCATTCAGGTACATACCTTGGGGCAAAATTACTGGATCATATGGTAAGACTATGTTTAACTTTATAAGAAATTACCAGGCCATCCTCAAAAGAGGCTGTACATTTTGCATTCCTACAAGAGATGAGTGTGGGTTTATGCTCCACATCCTCAAGGAAAGAAACTTGGTGTTGTTAATGTTATTTATTTTCATAATTTTTAATATAGTTTTGAATATATTTATAATAGCTGCTTTATTTGTTGCTAATGAAATCCAACTACTTCATTCCAGGGAGAATTTTTGTTGGTTGCTTTTTCTTTTTAATTTTTAAAAAATATTTATTTATTTATTTATTTATTTGGTACAGGGTCTCACTATGCTGCTCGGAATTATAGAGATCCTCCTGTCTCAGCCTCCCCAGCACTGGGATTACAGGTTTACACTACCGTACTTGATCCAGTGGCCAGCATGGTGCACCCAGGGTTCCAGGGATGGCACAGAATGTGGCACCAGGGATCAAACCCTGTAAAGCACTTAGACTACCAACTTATCTCCCCAGCCTGGTTACCTTTTATAAATGCCTTGGGAGTTTTTGTTTGCTTGTTTTGTTTTGTTATAAGTCTACCTTTCTGGCATTTTCCCAGTCCATACAATTTAATCATCATTCAGTTATGGGTCAGATTTTGTTAAGTTCTTAAATATGTAAGCCTCCTCCCTTTTTAAAAAAGAGATTTTTTTTGTGGAACCTGGGATTGAACTCAGGCCCTTGCACTTGCCAGGGAAGCCCTTATTCTACTGAGCCATCTCCCCGGCCCCGAAAGAGATCTTTATGTGAAATAAGTTGTTTTTTTTTTTTTTTCTCTAAATGCCCTAAGGGGTGGTTTGGCTGGCTGGAGTGTTGTGGGAATCGAACTACAGCAACCTGAGGCTGACAGCTTTGTGGAAGCAGCCACTTAAACAACTGAGCTAAGGCCAGGCCCCCCTTTATGTGAAGATATAACTGAAACCTCAGGCACTTTACAAATGAGCTTTAGCTTTTGTTTCCTGCTTTTAGGTGCAGCCAGAATTGCACAACTTGGGTCTTCTCCTGTCCTATTTCTTTTTCCTAGGACTATTCACAACTCTGTACATATGTCTATACTTCTAGGTACCCAAGAGTATCTTGGAACCTTGTAAAGTTCCGTATGGTCATCTGATTCTCTGTCTTTTCCATTTTTGTCCAGGGTTTTGTTTGCCCAGATTAAAATCACAGCCTTTTGTAATGGTGATATTACAAGGAGTTTGCTATTTTTAATATATATATAATGTCTTAAGAACAGAGGTTTTTTTTCATTGAGCTGCACTGCAAATGTTAATCAAATTATAACACCTTGGGAGTGGATATTTTCCAGGGAGCTGCTCGTTTGCTTAAAATATTCTCTGTGTTCTGTTGGATGGGGTTTTGAATGAAGCTCCATAAGATGTGCTGGATGCTGTACTGCTAGCTTTCATAGCTGACACACTTTCGATTTTGCAGGGAGAAAGGATGGGAATAACCTGAATGAGTGGTGCTCTTACTATGGTTCATTGGTTGTTCTCTTTTTTAAATGCAGTGCTAATGATCAAACTGAAGGACTCAAACATGCTAGGAAATGCTCTACCACTGAGCGATGCCTTTCGCTCCATTAGTTTCTCTTGAATAAATGCTTTTCAGTCTATTCTGTGCCTTTGGTTAATGTCTGATGTTCTGAAATGATTTAAATGGTCTTCTAGTATTTTTTGCTTTTACTGAGCATTTGGTTCACTGAAGTTCTGGGTTTGCTATTCCAGAAGTGAGTTTGATAGGAAAGTAATATCTTGTTCAGATATTGCTATAATATTTAATATACATATAGATTATCATTTATAAAGGACAGGTAAAATCTGAACATTTTAGTTAGAGAAATTTTCAAGCATGAATTTGGGAGTTACATTCTGACTTTTCTTTTCAGGTTGCTATTACTTCTGACTCTACAGGTCAATCTGAGAATTTTGAGGTACAGTCTTTGACATGTCAGAAAGAATGCAGTAAAACTGTGAACACAGAAGCCTTAATGACAGTATTTCACCCTCAGAATTTGGAGAATCTTAATTCTAAAATGGTAGGAAAATTAAATACTTATGTTTATAGACTGAAACAGTTGATTAAAAAAGAATCTCAGTGCAGAGTAGCAGGTACCAAAACTAAAACTCTTCCTTCGAGGTTTGAAAAAGTTTTTCAAAAATTAGTATAGTACTGTGTGCCTTGCGTGTTTCCACAACACTCAAGGACAGTTATCAGGAATGAAGATAAAAGATGAATGTTTGAGAGTCGGAGAGATAGCTCAGCAGACTAAGTGCCTGCTTAGGCAAGCACAGGGACCAGGGTTCGATCCCTGGCACATTCCAAGCGATCCCTGCCCCTGGGCACGCTGAGCCACCTGTTATGGTGACACATGCCTGTAATCTCTCCAGTGCTGGGGAGGCTGAATACAGGAGGATGACTATGAGTATGAGTTGCATAGTGAGACTCTGTACCAAATACATTTTTTTAAAAAAAGATGTTTGATTTGAGGTTCAAATTGTATAAATTTCTAATAACATGCAAAAAGTAGCTGATTTGGAAAGAATAAGATTTGAAGCTTTGCCTACTAAGCATAATACTTTTACCATCTTTATGAGTTTGAGAATTAAGATAGTAGATTAAAACTGTTAGACTTACATAATTTTAAAAGCTTTTGGGAAAAACAAAGGTACAATATTGATTGCTTTGTTAAAAATGATTTTTATTTTCTAGGTTCCTGGTTTCCATAGATGTTGTTTCATATTGAACAGGGTGGGCAAACTGTTTTAAAGATGTTAATGTCTCACTATGTTTATTTAGTTGATTTGCTTTTTCTGTTACAGTTGAAAGAAAAGATGAAGGAACAGTCATGGAACATCCTATTTTCAGAATGTGGCCGTGGTGTTAGCATGTTTCGGACCAAAAAGACTCGCGATCTGGTTGTACGAGGGATTCCAGAGACCTTAAGAGGAGAGCTCTGGATGCTTTTTTCAGGTACAGATGGCCCTCATTTAGTGACCTACCTCTTTAACTACTGGACTTAGGACCAAAGCGTGCTCTTCTTCAGACTGACCTGTACTTACAACCCACCACTTGGATTTATAACCTGTTTTTTATACAATTTTGTACATCTTGTTTATAGAATCTCAATGACTTCTTTGTATAGTACACCTTGTTTATACAGTATGGTAATTTTTGATGATTGCACCGGATTGCACTGGACTGTAATCCAGTACTTTTTATGTTCTCTTATTATAATACTGCATATAAGAGATATGCAAATAAAAGCAAAGTCAACAAGTGGGAGTTTCCTTTGACCATTTATTCTTTCTGAATATTGTAATGTACATATTATATACAGTTCTTTATTAGTGACCAATTCACTTAATGACCTAGAAATGTAACATGGTCACTAAACAAGGATGTCTACATTACATTTATTCACTTCATTCACTTAACAGACATTAATTATGCCCCAGCAATTATGTACTAAGCTAAAGTTAAAGAATTGCAAAAATCGTTAAGCAAAAATATTGCTCATCATGACTTAGGCTAGTCAAAGAGAGCAAGGTATGTAGTTATGCATACTTACTTATATATCCATATCTCTGGTGCCCGGGTAGATTACTTTATTAGGCAAATTTTGTCTAATTGGGAAAATCTCTCTAGTGTCAAAGGAAAGTTAAAGAGAAGAATCTCAAAATGTTCTTCTGTTGTATTATATTATTAGTTTGACATTATAGAGATGCTTATGAAAATATGCTACTATGTGCAAATCATAGTTCAGTATGCTTCTCTTTTTGTGTGTGAATGCAATCATCCTCACAGGTGCTGTTAATGACATGGCTACTAATCCTGGCTATTATGCTGAAGTGGTTGAAAAGTCCTTAGGGACCTGCAACTTGGCCACTGAAGAAATTGAACGTGATTTGCGTCGCTCTCTCCCTGAGCACCCAGCATTTCAGAGTGACACTGGCATATCTGCTCTGAGGCGGGTACTCACTGCTTATGCATATAGGAATCCCAAAATTGGATATTGCCAGGTATGTCTTCACTATGAGCCTATGTGCATGTTTGGAATAGCAAAAGTATATCAAATCTAGCTGTACTAATTTTGAAATTATAAGGAGAGTTTGGGGTTAGCTTGATAGTAGTTACTATTCATGTAAGGTGGATGGTAGTAGGCATACTACAATTCAATAATTTTTCATTTAACAAATACATAGTGCATTCCTGCTTGGAAAGAGATCCTATGTCACATGTTTAAGGCTATATTAAATGTATCAGGTAGGGATCTTGCTATGAAAGTACATAATATTAGTAGTTATTAAAAGTGTATTTATTTGGAAACTGAAAAACGAGTAAGGCAGGTTACTATATTAAAATAAAATCTTACTGGCATTTTTAACAAAAAGATTATTTTCATTTATAAGAGTCGTAGAAAGCTACATGGAAGAGATAGTAGCATTTGCAGGTCATGAAAATTCATGATTTTTTTGAACATACAAATATAAAGTAAAACAACATTCTACAGGAAAGAGTCAGTACAATTCAACATAGGGGAATGTGTATAGGCCCCTGTTCTGTACAGAAAAGTACGAGGTAAATGAAGCAAAGTAGTTGGAGAAAGCAATAGGGTAGACTGGGAGTTTAGATTTTGTTTTGATGGCCGTGGAGGAATAATTGGTGAAAAAAAAATCCTCTAGGAGTACACCATGCTGAATAGGTAGGCTAGAGTATAAGAGATAATAGCTGAAACATGATAGAAGAAAGTAATTCTCTTGGTGGGTAGAGAGTTCTCTATGAGATTATTAAGGGATTTAGGCTATGGCTGACAGCAGATTCTGTCATCTTCAAAAAGAGGCTTTCAAGGTATTTTCATTTTCATTACTAAACACAGGAAGGGATAAAGAGAATGAATAAAAAATGAGTGGAGATTTTACAGGCTAGACCTGGAGGGGGCACACTTCACTTACATTCTACCGGAAGATCTTCATCATGAGGATACCTGTTGACAAAATGTAGTATGAACTAAGCAGAGTGGTACCCACCAACTATGCAAGAAGAGGACATTGGGTTATGGTAAATAAGGTAGAATTCTGCCATACATTCATTTCTAATAGGTTGGACACCATTAATCATCATACGTCAATACTATCCATCAATTAAAAGTTTTCAATAGAGATTTTTTTTTCTTGTGGTACTGGGGGTAAAACCCAGAGCTCTATGCGTGCTAGACAAGCATTCTGCCACTAAGCCAAATCTACAGCCCTACATAGTTTTTTGGAAGACAATTTAAGTGAAAAAACCACCAATGATTTTAGGCTCTTCTAAAAGTACAGACAATGTATAATACATCTTTTACACTCAGGTAGCATCGTAGGTCAGTGGTAGATCACTTGCCTAGCATTCATGCGACCCTTAGCTGAATCCAGAGAACCAAGAAAAAAAATCCTTACACTCACAAAACCTGTGATAGTAATTTAGAGATAATTTTAAAGTAGCTATCACATGATTTTGACTTCTGAAACATGAGAACAGATTTATGGACATGGAAACTAAAAAGAAATTTATTCTAGGTTAAGGTAACAAATTAGCAATAACATTGAAGTGAGAATAAGCCTACCATTGAGATCAGACTGACTAAGCTCACATTGAAGTAAAGAATTAAATGTTAATGTGAAACAAGATCATGGAAAGTCTTTAAAATCTGTGAAAAGAATTTGAGGGCTGGAGAGATGGCTCAGTGGTCTAAAGCACCTACTTAGAACAAGCT